TTAAAAGGTGCCCGTCCGATCCTGCTATGGACCACTTGAACAGTGATCCCTATGAATCACTTGAACAGTGACTCAGTGCATCTTGCGCTTGAACAGCGCAAGCAACAGGGAACAGCTCCTCTTCGCGGTGCCCTGAAAGCTTGGACGTTGCAGGATGTCACCTTTTATTGAGGGCGTTTCGGGATTAACCTACAAGGTTTATGTTTTCTGGGCTTGGCACCGTCACAGGGCAGTAGGCTTGACGGTGTATCAGCGTCGGTTGAAAAGCTTAGGCTTGAGCAGTTCAAAGTCTAGGCCTCAACGACGTACCGGATTGGGTTCAGGGTTCAGGAATTAGTGTTTCTGGGTGTGGAGGCCCGACAGGGCGGCAAGCTTAAGGGTGTTGCAGATAGGGTTTTGGGTTCACGTGTTTTCAAGCTGCGCCAGTTGGGTTTCGGGTTCAGGGTTAAATAAATTCCAGGAATGGCACCCTCACAGTGCACTGGGCTGAAGGGGAAAATAGATATTGAGGGTTTAGTATTCAAGCTTCGGCACCCTCACAGTGCACTGGGCTTAAGGTGTAGCGGGTTGGCTTCAGCGTTCAGAGATTAGTTTCTACATTCAAGGTGTGGCACCCTCGCAGTGCACTGGGCTGAAGGGTGTAGTGGATTGGGTTTAGGGTTCAGGGTTTAGTATTCAAGCTTTGGCACCCTCGCAGTGCACTGGGCTTAAGGTGTAGCGGGTTGGGTTTAGCGTTCAGGGATTAGTTTCTACATTCAAGGTTTGGCACCCTCGCAGTGCACTGGGCTGAAGGGTATAGTGGATTGGGTTTACGGTTCAGGGTTTAGTATTCAAGCTTTGGCACCCTCACATTGCACGGGACTTAAGGTGTAGCGGGTTGGGTTTAAGGTTCAGGGTTTAGTGTTTAAATTCAAGGTTTGGCACCCTCACAGTGCACTGGGCTGAAGGGTATGGCGGCTTGGGTTTAGGGTTCAAGGTTTAGTGTTCAAGCTTTGGCACCCTCACAGTGCACGGGGCTTAAGGAGTAGCGGGTTGGATTTAGGTTTCGGGGTTTAGTGTTTGAATTCAAGGTTTGGAACCGTCGCAGTGCACTGGGCTTAAGGGTATGGCGGATTGGGTTTGGGGTTCAGGGTTTAGTACTCAAGCTTTGGCACCCTCACAGTGCGCTGGGTATTTAAATTCAAGCATTGGCACCCTCACAGTGCACTGGACTTGAAGGTGTTGCGAACAATTTTTTCCCGCGCGCATAGCTGGATGAACCACATCTCAGAGATCCGGTGGGGTATGACAAGCATGTGTTGTACACGTGTTGCTACCTTGAGAAAGCACCTCAAAACTTAGGCAATGATTAATTGCCTCACGTTTCCGAAAAGGGGACCTGCATAAACACATACACACAATATGCAAACAACAATAAATGCCAATCAGAAGAACCAAAGTCAGGTCCACTTTCAACTTATCATCCTTCATCACGAAGGTTAACTGCTCTCGCTTCGTGAGACAACCCTTCTGATCATGCTCCTCATTAGAAAGAACTCAACCGCAGCAGGTCACTTTAAGAGGAGCAGGATCCATGGCGGTTCTTAGCCACTCCTAGTGCCAAAACATACCTCTGGGCTCGGCTGAGCGAGTCTCGGCTGAGCGAGTCTTCAACGGAAACTGACACAGGCTTTAGGGCTTAGGGTCGAGTGTTCACCCTGAGAACCATCAGGCTGATGGTTTAGGGTTTCACGCTTTTGCTGTTGGCATTGTCACAGTGCGCTGGGCTGAAAGGTGTCGCACATTGGGTTTACTGTTTTGGAGGTTGTTGCACTCCCCGGTTTTGGCACCCTCGCAGTGCACAGGGCTTAAAGGCATCAGGTTTTTGAGGGTTTGATGTTGCCGGGTAGTCTAGCGGACTAAGGCTTCAGGGCTCAGGGTTTAGTTTCTTGTTTCAGGGCTTGGCGCCGTCGCAGCACTCTTTGGAGGAACCCTGGGCGCCACGCCAGCGCGCCTTACACCCCTTTGCCTCCAACTGGTATGCTCCTCTGCCTCCTGTCTGTGTGCCTGCAGGCCCCTGGGAAATGTTTGAAGTCAGGAGGCGTGGGCAGGAACAGTGAGAACATCTCTCCATGTATAAAAAAAAAAATATATATATATAGACATGTTATACAAGGAAGCATAAATAGAACTACTGGAACTACACAAAAAAATCAACTCGATTTGTGGGTGAAGTATGTGGTCTCTTATCACTTATAATGGCCCCAGTTTTGCAAAATACCCATGTTTTACAAAACACCATTTTGGTCGAAGATGCTGCACATGAGTGAGAAAATATAGTAGTAACAATCTATTTTTTTCAGAGCCAGATGCCACGAAATCCGAGCCAGATGCAACGAAATCTACTTATGAGTGCATGCCCGATGATCTTCGTGGCCCTCATAAAGCAGAACAGTACCCCGTCTATCTCCACTCTATCCACATCCATTCGGATCTGCCCGTCAGGCACCGACGATCTCCTTGTCCCCACATCCATTTTGACATTCTTGCCTATCCTTCTGAAGCCGGCCAGTACTCTTACTATCCATCCATTCCCTAACGAATGCCATGTAGAGTATGATGCTGTACCACAGATGCTTCGTCCAAACCAGCATCCCGCAGAGTCGTTCACACTGGGAGCGCCGGTCGTCCACGTGACCAGCGGATGGCTTCGATCTATCCCACCAGATGCTATCATCGACCACAACGCCTCTAGAGACGTTCCGTGGAAAATCCACCCGGGCACATTGAACTCCTCATTCCCGACCGACATCTCCTGATTCAGCTTCTCTGCTCCGGCGTACTCGGCCTTCGTGGGTACCCACATACATCGCGAATCCGTGAAATGTTCTTTCACATCCTTAATCCCCCCGTCTGCCTGGACCTCCGGAAATGTGATCACTTCTTCGGCCAGGGACCAGTGCAACAGGTGTAGAACTGACGTCGGTCCCCCTATCTGCCATGACAGTGTATCCAGATACTCCTTCATCTGTCCATTTGCTGCATTCGCCATAACTCCGTATCCTTTTTCTCCCCCCTCGCTTCTCCGGAATTCCTCCATCACGTCTCTTCCTCTCTTCAAGTATTGGCTTTCGTAGGCCCCCATAATCTCGTCTGCCATGCCTATCACCTTGATCTTGGGCTGCGCCTCCGTCCATATCTTCAGCTTCTCCTCGCTCGACTTATGGCTGACCGCTATCCGCTCCGCAACCTGAGACGGAGGAATTGCATACTTCAATGGTCGCACGGCCAACCATGTTATCATGCCTTTGATCGCATCATCGAACGGGCTCTTCTCTGTGTCGTCCATGTGGATCTCCGCCCAATCTAGGTTCTTTCTGCTGCTCCCTCCCCAGCTGGCCCTGAACGGGTCCTTGTTTCCGTTCGTGACGTCATACACCCCTCCCACAGAGATGGCTATCGGTGCCACACCAGCTATCATCCTCTCATATGATCTCCCCTTCTGGAAGGACTTCTCTGTTTCATCAGTCGCGCCGATGAATTTAGGGGCCCATGGCGTATCAACGTCTCCTCCCGTGCCCGCTGTGGGCATGGCACATCCCGGCACGTCCATCCCTCTGGCCAATCGCACCCCTATCAAGTCGTTCAGCTTCTCCTTCGACAGGTTCCCGGCATCAGGACTCGCCTGGGGTGGCGGCTTCGTCGCCCCTCCATGCGACCTTGGCCTATCCCAGTTCGCTATCACCCTCTCCAGGTAGTCCGTGGCATCCGTCACAGTCGCAGCTATCAGAGGGATCTTCTCCCTTATCCATGCTTCAGGATTCCGCCTTGTACACCGTAGTACCTCCCAGAGATACATAATCTTGTGCACTCGCATTCTATCCACATCGTATCCCACGGCTGATCGCTTACCTCCTTTCTTCGCCGTCTTGGCCTGGGCCTCTTCCGCTCGCACACCAGCTATCCCACTGCTCATCCATTTCTTGAAGTCTGCATCGTCCTTGAATTGGCTGGGGATAGCCCGTCTAGCCCATACCTCCTGCACCTCTAGATTTCCCTCCAACATCCAGTGTATTCTAGCCTGTTCTCGCTCCTTGGTTCCAGCTGGCAGATATGAGTACGTCGTCACCCCTGGCACTCCATCCTCCGTCTCGGCCTTGAGATATCTATCCGCGTCGGAAAACACTTTCTCCAGGAAGTCTATCATGGCCTGTGCTCGATCACATCGTTCCCTCTCTCCTGCATCCCTGGCCTGATGCTCCGGGCGTTGCCATCGTATCCCTATTGTCCTCGAAGACGAAGCTGTCCCAGGATCTTCACTGCTTCCGATATCTCTATCCCGCTCACTCAGCGACACCGATCCGAACATCTCTCCCATGGCTCCACGCTATGCAGGTCGCTAGAGCCCTCTTCTTCCTTACACCTGCATGCAACTCAAGGTCACACAAAAGTCGCTCTAGTCAAGACGTCGTTGAAGAGCATTACAAAGTGCTTCAATATTCACCATATCGCTACTTTCTATCCGAGCCTTTGATTCTTCATTAATGTATATGGTGCATTGTACGTCCTCTCCTTTGTCATGAAGCTCTCCTATCTGCGTCTTTCCCCGCATTCGAGCCAGTTTTCCACGTGCAGCAAGAATTCTCGCTATTCCCTCGGATATGGCGGCATCACTTTCCATTGATCAGAACAATCCCGATGCCCGCAGCGATCACTCTATCGACTAGTAAAGCTAGGCTATCAGCCGCTCTTTGGTCCTTTCTTCCCAGCTTAAGCTCTGCTCCGCGGGCTAGTCGAGAAGGCGAGTCAACTCGCTTCGGTGCTATCACAACTATCCCGTCGCACTCACCGACGATCGCCTCATCGACCTCCAGAATTGGCGAGTGTTTGATATCCCACACCATTTCCCAAATTATCCATCTTCCCACTATGGACTTTGCTATCCCGACGTTATCCCTGATGTCATACTCGAGCTGATTTTGGGATACCCCCCGGCACGCGGGCATAGCTAAGATGGTTCCCGTTGCGTTCCCGAACTCCTCTTCACCGAAATGTGCGGTAGTGTACATATCCCTTAACCACTCTCGTGCTTCATTGATGGCCTTGGTCATCATGTTGGCAGCCTGATACTCAGTAGGACAATTGACAAACGTGAACATGACTGCCTCGTAGAACTGGTTCAGCCTAGCTATGTCTATTCGTTGTGTTCTAGACAGGTACCTCATGTTCGGATTCTTGCCCGAGACAATCACTCTAACAGCCGCCTCATTGTCTTCTGCCACTATCAAGGGTTCTATACTCTCCTTCATCATCTCCCATAGTGCCAACCCCGGTATTCCCTGTTTCGTGATGCCATCGTGCAGGGCTACTATCTCAGCTTCAGGGGTACTTTTGGAGCACGACGTTTGCTTCTTACAGTAAGCAGCTATAGGAACGAAAGTGTGCGGTCCTTGAAGACAAAGATATACCCCCGACGTAGATCTATGGTCGTTCTTGTCGCTGGCAAGATCGGCGTCGCAGTATAGTACAAGACGGATGTCTCCTATCCTATCCCCGACCCATCCGTAGAGGCTCGTTGTGGTCGTCTCGTTGATGTATGAGATCAGTCTATGCATTCTCTTGTCACAGAGATGTGTCCAGGTCGTCAGCCTCGACGCCAGAACCTGTACTGGTCGCAGTAGGTCCTACCTTCCGACTCTGGCCCCATACAAGATCTTCATGAGTACCGCAGGGGCGTGCTCTTTCAACACTCCCGGCCCCTCATCCGGCAGCCCGTACTTGGCTATTCCCATAATTTCGTTCACCTTGTCGTCTACTGGGTTCTCGTCGAACTCTGGGCGGCTCTCGTCGAGATATGGGGTCTTAGCTTTATCCAGTGGCTTAGGATATGCCGTCGAGCACAACTCTTGATATCTATCCACACACTGCTTCATGAAATCGGTAACATCATATCGAAGGATCCTGATCTCATCTGGACTATCTTCCTTCGCCTCGGCCTTCCCCACGAAATTAGGCGGTTCCTTCTTGGGCTCGATGATCTTCGTCCACTCGTGTCTCGGCTCAAACGGCGACCGAAAAGGTATCGCGCTAGCCGTGTGCAAGCATCCCAAGTATCTGCCCATACTTCGTGGCTCTTCGAGCTTGATTCTCTTCGCCAGCTTCTCCCATCCTATCGCTAAGTTCTCTTTGGGCCCCGCAAGCTTGAAGTCGTCGACGTAGATCACCAGCATCAGCTTCAGCTCCTTATGGAAGAACACACTAGGCCAATCTGAGAGGAATTCGAAGCCGACCTCAGTCACGGCCTTTTCGCAGTGCTTTTCCCAGAACCCCCCGGCATCCGGATGCCCGTATAAAGCTAGTCTCAGTGGCACCACGGGGTCGTCTATGCCCTCCCATTCATCTGGCCACCTATCCCTCGGGATCCGTATCCATGTTTTAGGCCCCCCCAACAGCGCCTGCGTGTATGCCGACTCACCGTCCGACATCTCGATGTCATGTCCTGGCAGCATCCCATAGGCATCCGCCATCTTGCCTGCCTCAAGTGTCGCGGGACATGATGTGATTTCCTGAAAGATGGCCCACTTTCCCTCCTGGTCTTTGACATGACATCCCTCAAACACAACTCTCCCCTTATACTTTCTAAGAGGATCGTCTTCAGCAAGCTCCCAGTTCTTTTCCACACAGATGTCAAAGATACGACCTACATGAGCTATTTCCCCTCTATCCATTGCCTCCCGTTGAACGTCCTTCCACGAACGCACCTCCTCCATTATCCAGACCACTTGATCCATCAGCTTTTTCCATTCTTTATCAAGCGCTGCCCGAGCCTTGGGGTTGATCGCCCTCTCAGCCTTCGTCACGGGTCTAGCGACAAGTCCGAAAACTTCCTCGATGTCCTCCTCTTCGTCCTCTATGATTGTGGCCATCAGTGGCTCACACTCTCCCACTGTCTCGTCGATGCTATCACACACTTCATTTTCCGCAACCTCTTCCCAACTATCCTCTTGATCTGCATCCACCTGTATAGCAGGGACTGCGACTATTCCATCTCCATACTCCTCGTCTTCAGTCTGATAACCCTGCCGGATCAAATTATCAACGGGTGTAGTATGCTTGTTCATGAAGCATGCGAAGCAAAGCGTCATCGACGTGAGGATCAAGCTAGGTACCTTGGCTTTTCCCTCCAACAGTCGTCGACATTCTCGGCACTTGTATGTCCTATTCGAGACATGCTTGATGCCGATTCGCCGCCTATCCTCATCTCTACTCCTCCTTGCTCTCAGCCCATGATCCACACTACCCCTGTCTCTTTCCCTCGCACGGGCCTCTCTTGCCCAGATTGCTTTCTTGCTCTCCCGATGTGCCCTACGATGTCTCACTTCCTTCACGTTCTCAGGCATCATGCACCCGCGCATCCTCGGCCGTAGACATACTCCCTTAGCGAATTCCATTCTCATGATTGGCCCCCCTCCTCCTCCAAACGTGATGGGAAAGCTATTTCTATTCTGTATAGCCACCAGGATCTCTCGCTCAGGTGATACCTCGTATCCTATGACGTCGCACATGGTTTCTGCCACAAGCTGCCCGAGCGCAGACACTCTTACACTGGTGCCAGGATCTTCCGGATACGCTATCCCAGTACGAACCCAGGTGTATCCTATCAGTGGAACATGGATGTCGTCCTTTAGTTCGAGGACTAGTGCGTTCCTCTCTGCCTCCCACATGACTATGTTGCATTCGCCCTTCTCCATAGTTTCGAGGTTAATGGTTTCGGCGTGTCCGGCCCTGAAGAATGCCTCATCCACCGGTTCCCGTTCCTCTTCTAGGTCTGACAACGTCCATCCTTCCGAGTCAAACACATCGCTCTGGTCGTCGAATCCGGGGTTTTCCTCTCTATCTTGGTCATGGCGCCGATCTGCGTCGTGGTTCTCCCTCTCCCCGGTCAGCACTATCATCCATCCGTCCCCGTTCAGGTCTCCCACCTCAAGCTCTTCTCCAGGGTAAGCTACTGCGGCCCCTCCGGTGCTATGTCTGATGCGGCGACTGTTCTGCTTCGTCATCATAACCTTGCCTATGTCGTCGCCGTCAACCAGGATCACGCGCAGATCTTGTGTGTGTTTCGCTCGTGGTCCGAAGATCTCCCTCAATGCCTCTCGGCCAGGATTGTTCATAACTATGCATCTTTTCCATCTGATCTCCTCACGACTGATGTATGGTGCCCCATCCTCGGCCGCCGCAGCAGCATAGTTCCTTATCAGCGTCTGATCTTCTCTATCCGTAGCATATTCTTCGTGCTCGTCGTCCCCCTCCATGTCTATCACCCAATATGAGTTTCCTCCGTTCATTCTTCTCTTGGCTATCTTCAACAGCTTTTCTAGTGATCCCCCAGTCTCGTCGCCTCTAATCGTTCCCTTTTCCAGCTGTGCCAAGGAGTCCACGTCCAGTGTCACCATACCACTGCTATATCCGAGATAGTCTCCCCCGTGTTCTTCACATGCCATCGACACCGAATCACCCTCTTCCTCGCCGCAGATGTCTATCACGTCCTTTAACACCTTGATCATTTCGCGTATCGCTTTACCCTCCTGCTCTCGCCGTACGTCTATTTTCGCGTCCGATGTCCTCACTATGCGCGACATCAAGTCATGATCCCTTGGCATGTGATCGCATGCTAACATGTCCGCCGCGATCGCATTCATCATGCATGGTGTGACGACTCCTATGTAACACGACGCGTCTACCCCGTCATGCATACCCAGCATGCATCCATCACTCCGCACTATCCACATGTCCCAGGCAAGCGCCATTCGAACAATGGTCTCGTCAGCCATTCGACTTTTACCGCCTATCCAGATGATCGTGGCCACTATTCCTCTGCTGTTGGCGTCTGTGATAACCTTTTCTACATTGCCAAATACTCTTTCTCGAGCCTCTCGCGTACTATCTAGGCCTTCCTCACGTCTCCACCCGGATGCCTTCCGATCAACCTCTGTCCTCATGCCGTCGCTAGACGCATCGATAGCAATGACCACATCCGTTACACCCTCTCCTATCACGCATCCTTCCCCCGATATCCAAGATACGTTCTCACCTCCGTTACCCCCGATCTCTTCTAATCCGACCCCCATGATCTGCACTTTAGGCTGTTCGCCCAACTCCCTCATCATTTCCCCAACGATGTTGTCGGACGGCGTTCGCGCTATTCCAGCTGTGCTGCACAATTGGTTGATGGTTTTCGTAACCTCCTCAGTATCCCCCATCCTGGACGCCGGTGCAGCAGGTTCTGCTGATTCTCCTCTATCCCTGATTCGTCGGTCTTCTCCTCCGTCGGGGATGTACCAGAACTCCGTGATGATGTCCCTGGGCACAACGAATCGGTATCTCCCTCTATTGCGCATCATCTCTGCCTGTATACAAGAGTCGTACTCAATGGATTCTAAGACCTCTCCAGTATTAGCGCTCCGAGTGACCCTCCACCAGAGCTCAAGCCGTCTTTTGTCTCTTCCGCCATAGAATCGGTAGGATGTGGCGCGATTGTTTCTTACTGCCCATACTCGGCCACCCTCAGGCATTCCCGGTGGGGGATCCCATCGGTACTCCGGCGGTGAGAATTCCTGGCCATGGTCGGTGATTTTCTCCATCCATTCTCGAACTCCAATTTCTGCGGGACGCGGTCCTATTTCCTCTTGCCCTCGAACGGCCGAAGGGGGCCTCTCTCCTCTGATGATCCTCTCTTTGTCTCCCTCGATATAACGTAGTCGCTGTCCCGGGCTCATCCTATTCCACTCTGCTGACGAAATGGAGTTGGGTTTGTGAGATCTCGCGTACGGCCGCTCTATTCTGGGCATGTCTTGTTCGTAGTCTAAACCCACCCCCCGTATACCCGTCGCCTTCTCTCCCCGCGCCCGCTCCTTGGCTTCATCATCTATCTCTCCCTCAGGCTCCCCCTTTTCCCAGAACGTAGTGCACCCCGTCCATTTCTTGGTGATCTTCTTCTTGCCCTTCATTCTATCCTCATCCAGCACCTCCGATGTACCATCGGCGTACACTATCCACGTTCGCCTCCTTGGACCCAGCTCTCTATCCCCGGGGCCACCTGTACCTTTGACCTCCTCGCCTGGGGTACACAGCTCCTTTCGGGGTAAGATGTGATGAAGCGTCCACGAATGGTCTATCTCATCATGTTCCCAGAAATCCCCGTTTTGAAGATGCTGATCGTCGCACTTAATTTGTCTCATCACATCGGCTCGTACCCTTCTCTCCTCTGCGAAGATTTCCTCCGTCTCCTCTCCTTGCTGCCCCTCTCTCTCCAGTTCCAATCTGGCCAGGGCATCAGCTCGAGTCGCTGTCATGATTCTCGACTTCCTATCAGCCACAGCTTGCATCGGGAAGTAGTTGGGCATCTCCTCGTCAAGTACTATCCTCTTCACGCGGTGTATCGACGGTACCGTCCATCCGTGATACAGGTGCGCCAGCTCAACCACTATATAGTCTCCGCTCGGAACACCCCCTGGTTGGAGCGCGTAACCTAGGAACAATCCGGGTGATGTCGGAGTGTCGAACTTCGCCTTGGATGCCATGGCATACGCTTGCTCTTCCTCGGCGTCGTGATCTACATATTCTTCCCCATCCCCACCATCGTCTGCACACGCTGCCTGGCATAAGCCATCCGCTAATGTCGCAAAGTGCTCATCCAATCTGAAGCCCAGCCTCATCAACTTCCACTTGTCGTCCACAGATGCCTTTTTACCCGCTGCCAGGGTATATCCCACCGCTATCACTCTATCCTCCGGCGCCAAGGCATCTTCGGTAGCATGCCAAACTCTTGGATTGAACTTTAGCCCACTATTCACCTTCCGAGTCCTTCCCCATATCCATTTTCCCGGAAGCACCTCTTTCTCTATCCCGGCGGCCTTGCCACCCTCACTCGCACACTGTTCCTCTTCTGTCCAGATCATAGCTTCGCCCGCCCTCTCGCTTACCGGTACAACAAAGTTGTATGTCTGGCTCTCGTTAAACTTGTCCTTGTGAGGCCCCATCCTGGTTCCGACAGACACAATCACCGTTGTAAAAGTAGCTTCTGGGAAGCATTTTGCTATCAGCTCGCAGCACACCATGGCTATCCCCGGATATTCTTTGGCACTATTCGTAACGCCAATCTTTCCTCCGTACGCATACAGCCCCAGGTCTATGAACCCTCTACCGGTGGCCATGCTCCGCGAATTCTTCGCTATTCCTTTTTCTATCGAAGTGAACTTCAGGATGATGTCCTTTGCATTCTGCACATCAAAGTCCTGCGTCATGACCATGTCGAGCGCACGTCTATCGATCTCTCTCAGCTCTTCCTCCCTTTGCGAGCGTTGTTCTTTAGTTTCCTTCGTTTCAGAGGGCAAGGCCATGCTCGAAACATCTTCATCAGCTCCGAGAATCTCAAGAGCGTCATTTTCAGGATCCCCCCGTTCGAGCAGGGCCGCGTCCTCTTTGCCAGCTTTTCTAGGCTTTTCGGCAATGGGGAGGTAGTTAACAAGTGCCCCGAAAGGAATCAGTTTCACTTTGTCTTGCTCGTTGCCATGTCTTTTCCCGTACGGGCTTACCCCGTCCACTTGTTGTACGTTCCTATGGAAGCAGAACGTCTGCACAGCGTACGGCCACCACTTCGGTTCTAGTCCTGCTTGTCTCAGCAATACTCTGCCACCGTAGATTACTTCTTTGACCTTGAGCTCCGCTATGCTATTCGTTCGGGGTAATCCGGGTGTAGAAGTCGCCCTGCAAGTTCCTATGACGTCGCAGGCTTTTGAGAATTCACCGGCTCCGTCTGCGTACAGATGCACTACCATATCTGGGCCTCGGAACTCATTGATAGCTCGCACAAACTCATCCGTTCCCCTGGACTTTACGGGCGTGCAGTGTATCCACTGTGTCTTGAAGTCGAACATCACGATTGCATTGTTTTCTCCGCGGATTCCCTTGTCTTTGTTGCTGCGAAGAACTATCGTGTCAGCAGTGACCCTCTCCCCGAACTTCTCGGCGCCCTTGTCTGTGATGCCTTCGCCCCTGTTGAAGGGGACGTTTATTGCTTTGCCTTGTCGACAAGCAACGCAGTGCATGTTCTTTGGGAGATGCGTGAGCAAATGTTCCGTCGATTTTGCATACTCCGGTGAGTATCTTGCTCTCCGGATGCTCACAGTTTTGCTCGACCCTATCCCTTCGCCAATTCTATCCGCAACTCGAACCTGATCCGCAGGTCCGTCTTCTGCCTTTGCTTGTTCCACTTCTCCCATGTCACCGGCGCTATCATCCTTCTGAGGCTCTCCCACTCCTCTTCTAGCCTGTTCTTCATCGGCTATTCCTGGCAAATCTATATCATCATCCAATTCGCCTCCGTTTTCGGCGCTTTCTTCCTCGCCGGGTACAGCGACGACTTGCTCCGCGATCCTTAGGTCGTCATCCGGACTCTTCTTCATTCCGTGGATGAGCTGAAACTCCGCATCCGTCATATTGCGTGCGCTTTGCCCCGCCTCAATCTGCTCAGGACTCAAAGCTCTTTCACAAAAACCGCATACCCCGGATGAATCGGCCTTACACGCGGCGCAGTAGAACGTCGTTCTCAGTCGACCGTCACCATCGTCTTGTTCTGTCGTTGTCTCCCTATTCCTCTCGTCTATCCCCTTTTCGACCACTGATGAAATTCGGTGGTGCTTACGCATAGTCTCCTTGATGGCTCGCACTAATCCCGGTGCCCACTCCGACCAGTTTTGTGACTCGCTCATCTCGCCCTTGCTTCTATCATCGCCATCGTTCGTCGCTCCGGTCCCTGGTCCTCTAAGATTGACCGCCCATCCTATCAACTCTGCGTCAGTCGCTATTGTGGTCGGCTTTCTCCTAGGGTGTCCCATCGGTCCCTGATCGAAACTAAATAACTTAGTCCCTAGAATGGCACTCGTCCTATCCCATTCTTCAGTCGCCCACAATGACGCGTATCCTCCATCTGGCGTCTCATCCCAATACGTCTCGGGGTCCTGCGGCTGTTCGATTAGGCACATTGCTGAGGTCCTCGATGACTTGCGGCGTGCCTTTCCTATCAAAATGAGCATGCAAATGCGCAAGATGATGATGTCGTCGTCACGGCATTCCTGCTTTTGTGCCCAACTGATTATCGAATATCCCCATCTCTCCGGCCCATTCCTCGACCTCAGCGGGATCGGCCCAGGCCTCTTGTATCTCATCACGGACCTCGTTCTGCAGGGCGGTCCGGCTAACCAGCAAAACACCAGGTCGGTCGTGGCCAACTTTACTAGCCACCACCATGTGTCAGAGCGCAGTACGTTCTCCTCCATGTCAATGTCTATCACACTCATCCCTAACTCAGTTGCTATGTCATCAAACTTCCCCCTTGATTTCCCGCAACAGATGTGCACTATGACGCGTTTGCTACCTTCAATTGCATGTTTGATTTTCAAGATTTCTGGCCTCGTGTCCCCTAGAGGTTTCTGAGCCATCCCATCGTCCAAGATTTCTTGAGGAGCACACGGCCACAGATACTTGGCTATCCGGACTAGCGTTTCGGCCTCGCCGCTGGTACCAATGGTCTTGTCCAGCATCATCAGCAGGTCATTTAACCCCGTGGTTTCATCCGTGGCTATCCTGTCCAAAATGTGCTTTCTCACCTTCGCGCTATCACCCGGTACTGTCCCCCCAGCGTCAGTTCCTTCAAATGTGAGTCCTTCTATCTTGAATGTAGTCTTGCCCGTCCAGGCACTCTTCTCCGCATCTCTATATCCTCCCACATGGCGCTCATCCACCCAATCTATCCATTCTGCTACAGTCTTTCCTCCTTCGTATACACGCTTGGATCTACACTTCTCGGCGAATCGTGGCACTAATGCATGAATCTCGGGAAACTTCATCGTCTCGGCCCACGGATCGCATGTTCTTGTTCTCGGTTTGTTATGAAAACATACCGCTTTGTTACCCGTTAACATCCACTTATCTAGCAGTCTTTCTTCGTCATTTCCATTCTTTCTCAAAGTTTCCTCCTCGTTGTCTCTATCCGTGTCTGAGTCCATGCTTTTGGGGCTAAACCCATCCTGTCTATCCTCAGTTCGCCTAGGACTGGAATTTCCTCGCACAGGTAGTTCGATTGCGAGGGGCGCTGGCATCGCAGGATAGATGTGATAATCACCTCGCTCATGTTCGCAGACGACTGTTGATGTTCTATCCACCATGTAAGGAATGTCCCCGATCACCTTTAGTACAATCAGGCTTGAGTCAGGCTTGACGAATACAGGATTAGCACCTGCTAGCCAGTGAAATGAATATCCCATTTTCATGCATCTCCTTCCCATTGACAAAACAGCAGGAGTACTCTCGAGCATCCTAATCCTCATTGTTTCTGGCATTCCCTGTATGTCCATGCATATCTCCTGCTTAGACGTGGTGTTGCCATTGGCGGTGTTGAACCTCACTTTCTTCGCTTCAATGGCCAATTCCTTTTCATCTTGAGTGAGGTCAGCTTCCGCTATCAAATCCATAGCACATCCCGAGTCTATCATCCACCTTCTCATTACGGGTGGCAGGCATTGTTGAGCTGATACGGCCGGTTGACCTTCATCTCGGCTATCCACGCGAAATCTCTCATCAACTATACCGATCCTCCTGCACTCTTCTACAATCCTTTCTGCTAGCCTCGATGCTGTCTTCCCTTCCTCGCCTTGCTCCCCGGCCAGCAGGTCCAATACAACCTCTTCGGCCAGAGATATCCCGCGTAATCGCGCCTTTGCTTCTTCAACCACAGGGTGTCGTTTCACATCATGTTCGTACCCCTTCCGGTGTACATTCTTGCACTTCCGAATCATCTTGTCAGCTGGGTGCCCTATCCAATAGCATATGTCTAGCCCTGCTATCCCCGTCTCATCAGAGCCCAATCCTTTGACTCTTCTATTACTCTTCTTCACTCGCTCCCTGCCTGTCGTTGTCACTAGTATTCCCCTATGCGTGCTTTCGGCGCCATCGTCTCTTTGTCGTACCACAGGCATGGCCGCATACACCTGACTATCCTCGCTGGCCTGTGGGTTTCGGCCCGCCCCTAGCGAAAACTTGGCCCTTCACCATCAGCATGTGGACTCGATGGCCTTGTCTCCTTCTGCTCTATCTCTACTGTCTCAAAAGCCTCCCTAATGCTATTCGGGATAGCCTCGTGGAGCATTTTACACTTGTCATTTCTGCAGCTGCCGTACCGAAAATGCTCAAAGCAGTATCCCGCCTTCTTGAGGACCTCTTCCGCCTGACTATACAGATAAATGTCGTGCGAATGTTTGCAGTCCGCCGCAGTCATTGGGCAAGTTCCACGCGTATAGGGGTAGCAGACCCCTCTTTTTCCAAACGGCGACTTGGATCCATATCTATTCTTCGGGTCATCGGCTCTCCCCGCCTGCGAAAGTCCGTCCCTTCCTCTTCCCACAGATATCCCTCTTCCGTAGCTATTTCCCCCTGCGGGCGATGAACTCCTCGGTCTATCATCAGCGTACGCGCTTCTTCTATTCACCGGTGCTCTATAGGATCCCTGCTGAGCCGGCATCGCAGCATATCCAGTCGTGAACGCCTGTCGGCTCACCCGCATTGAGGCCTCATCTATGTTCTTGTCCGCTCTCCACATCTCCAGTCTATCCTTGATTCTCTTTCGCAACCAGGTATGCGTCTTGGACTCATCCGGAAGCAATCTCCATGCCTCAATATCGTGGTTCAGCACCTGAACTCTCTGCACTTTCGAATGCAACATCCATCCCAGCTGTTGCTCGCTCCAGGTATTGCCTTTCAGCCCTATAAGGTTCGTGTGTGCCAGATCCCATCTAGTCATGAACTCCTCCAGTGCCTCTTCTTCGGGCTTCCCCGGGAAATTCATCACCTTCGTGCTACTCAGGCCATCGTACAGTACCTGACTCTCTTTAGCAATCGGGATCTCAACATGCTTTACTATCAGCGTAAGCAATCTCATGGCCGTCATCGGTTTTCCATCTCCCACTTGCTGAGTCTTGTACATCTCCATCTTCACCTTCGCCGACAAGGACTCTGACTTTATTGCTCTCTTCAATCCGCTAAAAAGCTGGTTCTCTAACGCAGGATACTTGAGTTCCATGTCTATCATCGCTTCGCTCCTTTCGCGTACCCTCAATACCTGCGTGTATGCATAGTCCCCGTCATACAGATACGCAGCCTTCGCAGTGTGTGCAACATCGCCCAGCCACAGTCCTACTTCCCCGGATGATGGCTCCTTCGCTATCGATATCTCGTTGCATTTCTCCATCCCTCTGGTGTCCTTGAACTTGTTATACCCTCCGCCTACCGGATTTCTGAACCTGGCATCATCCCCCTCATGATCGCGTCCACTCTGCGGCCTCGGAAGTCCTGTCCCCGCATATCCTCCGGCATCGCACCCCCTTCTATCAGTGGAGCACAGCATGCACAAGTCATCATGGTATTCATAGCAATTACCACACACTTCTCTTCCGCAGCCTTGGCACGCAATCATCATTTCCGCTTGTCTAACACAAACGGGGCACCTTCTAATCCTAGTCTCTTCCCCCAACAAACCTCCATCTCCTTGTCTATCCTTTCTTCCATGCTCCCTTCTATCCCCAAAGGAACTCGGCGCAGGCGTGGCACCGGCACTTGGTCTTGCGGAGCCGGCGTTCGAAGCACCTCCCACACCCGGCGCTGGCATGGCGTACTCGGAGCTTTGCTTGCCGATCTCACCGATTCTATGCCACATGCTATCCAGTTCTGCTTTAAGGCTATCGTTTCGTCTCACCTGCTCCAGTCTCCGTTCATACTCCCGTACCGTTGCCTCCAACTGCTCGTTCTTCTCCTTGAGTTCTAGCATCTCTCTACCTCGGAGATCAAGATCCGCTCTCATTTTAGATATCTCATCTCTGCTGTCCCGAACCATCCGCGCTACCGACTCTGTCACCCCCTTGTTCTCCCCCTTCATGCTTTCTATTTCGCTGATCAGGCTAGCGTTCTCCTTCACGATCCGCTCATTCACCGTGGTTAATCCCTGCAATTGACCAGTGATCTTGGCTACCTGTTGTTCTAACACAATGCATCTGTTCTCGATCCTCCGATCAACTACGGGACCCGTCATCTCCGGCCTCGAAGCCTCCATTCCTCGGGCGTTGTCGCTCCTGGCTCTTCCATCGGCTCCCCCACTTCCGCCGGGACCATCTCGCCCGCGTGACATCGTCGGTGGCTTTCCTATCTCCGCGCTGTTTCCTCGCGTTTTGCCTATCCCTTCGTTCCGTGTGCTCTCATCAATTCGAGCATTGACAAGGATAAATTCGCCCGTGACCCTCTTCTGCTCATCTATCATACGGCTCGACATTGACTCCATAGTCTTTTCCATCTTTCGCACAGTATCTTTCACCCAGGCCTGTTCTCCGTTTCTCTTTTCATCAACCCGCTCGGTCCTTGCCACGACATTCTCGCAAGTCTTGTGAACCTTTGTCATGCCCGCCACAATCTCGGCCACGCTCTTGCGGTTCTTTATCACCTCTCTCGCGACGGTCATTATGTGTTCCTTCTGTGCCAAAACCACTTCACTCAGCTTCTTGGTCTCTACACGCACTGCTCCATCTATGCACAAGCCGTGACCCTCGCCAGGCTCTCTGCACCCGCATCCAGGACTTTTTCCTTGACTATTACAATGGGACGACGACGCTGTATCTATTCCGGCCTTCTGGCTCCCCTTGGACTTCAACTTCCTTAGTTCCTCGCCCGCTAACTTGATCTGGTCCCATTGTCTATTCAAAACTGTCTCCACTTTATCGAGCCTCTCATTCTTCCATGTTCCATTCTCATGTCGCATTTGCATGCTCGAGAAGACCACTCCTATGCCACGTCTTACCTCATTCAATCCTGTCTCTAACGTGGCGATCTTCGTCCCGGCACTCTGTTTGGCTATGTCCGCTGAATGCTCCGCTGTGGACAATCGCTCCTCCACTCCCTTCAATCTAGTCGTAACAGAGGTCTTGAGCACCTTCACGTTTTCAACCTGCCGTCTCATTCTCCGTGCGAGCTGCATTGCTCCCTCGGTCAGTTGCGGAGCCATTGCATCATCCATCCTATCCTCGCTGACGCTCCCGTCCATGATCCGACTCATCTCTTTCAGCTCCTGCGACAGTGTTGTCTTGGTATCTATCTGCTGCGATTCTATCCAACCTTTCCAGTGCTTCACCTCCTCCTCGCATTCCACCAATCTCTTGCTCACGACGTCCGCCTTTTCCGCTGAACTATTAGCAATTGCACTTGCACATTCACTTGCCACTTTAAGCTTGGCTACGTCGGTCTGCGTGTCCACAACCACCGTCTGTAAATCATCTATCCTGCCGTCTATCTCTCCTAACGAAGACTTGTCCGGATCGGCAGGAGTTCTCACCTTTGCCCGCCTAGGTGGGGATGATGTTGCCCTCATCTCATCGTTCCTGCCTCGTCCTTCAGGAGGAGTATTGATCCCGAAGTGCTCGTATTGCCCACCTATCCCAGGGGATCGTGGAGCCGGGGATCGATTGCCCCATCCCTCGCTACCCTGATCCGGGGTGATCATTCCTGCCTGATGGATCGGTCCCCCAATTTCTGTCGATTTCGACTTCTTGGCTGCGGGGACGCTCTCGGCTATCTGGTTCATCTCCTTAACGGCCTGCTCCGCTCGTTGCTTACGCAGTCCCTCATCCATCTTGCCTATCTTGCTGGTGGTACCAACTCCATTTTCCGATCCACCCGGGCTATCCCTCTTCAATGATGTAGATCGACCACCTGAGTGTCCACTATCCGACCCCATCGACATCTTTCGTGACCTGTCTTTCTCTACCCCTGCGATCTCGGCACCATATATCCCAGCGTTCCACCGTTCCTGCGAATCCGATTGCATCGCCATGGGCGTTGATCCAGGCTCTCCTGGTCCCTGATCTGTGAAGAACTTCGCAAAGTCCACGTCAGTGATGACCCCCGTTTCCTCGAGAGTACTCCTGATCCCATGTGATCCCCACTCTATTCCGATCGTCGTAGTCTGGTCCATCCCCACATCTTTCAATGCTCCAATGTTCCCGCCTGGCGATGTCTCCGAGAGGCCTGTAGATGAGAACACAGACAGCGCTCTATCCTCACTCTCACTGACCGCGTTCTGCGTTACCGCTGAAGATCCGTTAGCTATCAACTCCAGATCTGTAGGATCGGCACGGACGTTCCCAATCATGGCCGCACTACTCGAATATACTCCGGGGACGAGATCATCCCCATTCCCTCTGCCCATCCAATGTCCGCTATCCACACCTCTCGTGCGATCACCCCCAACACCGAGCTCGCCACTGTTCATCATCACATCTATTCCATCATCATTTCTCCTGGTCGTCCTATCGTGATCTGACGATGATGACACCGCAAGGCTATCCACTCTATCCTCGATCGCCATCTCTATCCTGGAGCCACTGATTCCCTTGGCACCTCCCGTCAACTCGTACTCCGCTCCGTGGGACATATTCTCGGAGGGGATGACGAACGGTCCTTCTTCCGTTCTTCCACCTATTCCAGCCAGATCCTCGATAGCAAGCGTCGGGGTCCTGGCGTTTCCTGCTTCTATCCCGCCTCTTCCGGCCCTGTACTCATTCAAATCCGTAGCTCCCATGATTGGATCGAATACTACAGGACTGCTTGCAAGCATGCTAAGCTGCATCACGGCATCCCCTCTACCTGCGATTGACGGGACTGCGAGCAACTCCCGCAATTCTTCGCCTGGGTCCCTCCCCTGAGTGCTTGACGCGTCCGCTATCCCGGCATAGCCCAGCCCTCCCGACCTCCCCACACTATCCAGCGTCGCCACGATCTCCAAGCTTCTATCCGGCAGTCCTGGCGGTGGCCCTGGCACTAACATACTATCCGCAGCGCTCGACCTAACGTCTACAGTAAGCGGTCCTGACAAGCTGAGGCCGAAACGATCTCTATCAGCATTGCTATCCGTCTCCATTCCTGTCCTTCCACTATTCCG